TACATTCCGTCACATGCCTCGGAACTGCAAGTAGAAGCTACTTCGCGGGGTCTTTTTGTTGTGTCGGCAACGGAGAATCCCTATACTCAGAGTGTCGAGCAAGTAATAGAAACAAGTCTTGATCCTGTTTTCAATTTGTTCATGTGAGTGTCTGACGGACACAGTACCGTTAATGCAGCGACCAATATAATGCAGACATATCCCAACTACAACTCACACCTACAAACACGCACAAATGTCCGTATAATATATATGCATCATATCTCGTAATCGGTTCGTAGTGTAAATCTTTTTCGAAATTAAGTAAAATTTATACCAAGAGACACGGACGGCAGACAAAGACACTGTCTTAATCATTAAGAACTCCTTAAAATTTCACTATTTAAGATACCAAAACAGTTGATGTGGTAAAAAATATGGAAGATAACATCCAACTAATGTAAGTTTTCTCTAGTAAAACTGTTGTGCACATACAATGTTAATTTATGAAGTGTACTCAACCCGGGCAATTATACAAGTAGAACAACATCTACATGGGGGAGAACTGTCGCTTAAGAAGAGAAGATCAATCGTATTAGAGTCGACAAACAACCGGGAGCTATCTAGTGACAAATCAGTACCCAGGATACTTTTTTCCAACCAACTTTTCGACGTCGGGCCCGGCCTATCGCGATTACCCAGTCTCATCAACATCAAACACCCCAGTTCCTAAACTGTAATGTGAGCGCAGCATTAAAGTGAGCCGGGCCTAATAAGGCCTAACCAAACCGAGCGAGGCCGAGCGAGGCCTGCAGTGTAAATGCACCATTAGTGTCGCCAACTCGTTTCTAACATGCAAAAAGACAAACAAATGATGATGTATTTTCGATCAGACGAGATCTCTCTCCCCCGTCTGTGTGCGAGGGGGCGGGGCAGTTTACACACACGCGGCTGCTACATGCAGCAACACACGGCGAACGGAGGAGGTGGCCGAGAGAACGCGCTCCGAGGTTTGGTTAAACTTTACCCGTCTCGATGTGGACAATGCTCGTTATCAAAAGTGCAATAAGAGTTTAGCATGTAAGGGCGGTAACACGAGGAATTTGTCTAAACATTTAGCAAAAGTGCACCACATTCAGACGGAGGAATCACCGGGTTCGACTGTCTTTCTAGTAGCTCTGTAGCCCCATCCACGAGTAACGTTTCTACGTAAGGTGTTATGTATGCTAGCAGCAACACTCCAGCCCGGGTTAAACATTATATAAACATGGGTTAATGATTAGAGGTAACAGAGTTACTCTTTATTTTGTTAAAGTTTCAGCTATTCTGTTCACAGTTCTGTCATCACATTATTTAATACGTTTTGTTAAAACACTTGTTTATTTTGAGATGAAATATTATTTATTTAATTGAAATAAAAAGCAATGTTCATTTTGTTCAAAATGTGTTTAGTTAATTTAACCCTAACCCTAATTTTTGAATCAAGTATTCATCTTTATTGTCTTCATTGTTAGTTTCCACATGCCTAAAACAACCTCAAGCTAAATCTAAAAGTTGATGGCTAAATAAGAGCGTTTGAGAAATTGTGCAAGGCATACAGTAATAGTCCGAATAGTCGATTAATCGTTTCATTAGTCGATAGATTAATCGATTATCAAATTAGTCGTTTGTTGCAGCCCTACTCCTCAGATCAGGGATTAGCGCTGTGCGAAAATGTGAACAGTGTAATTATCAATGTGTTGCCAGTTCATAAAGGAGCGTTTAAGAACAGATGACCTCACCAGTAATCCTGGCAGAGAAGGGGCTGCCGGGGATGTGCTTGTCGTTGTATTTGACGAGGATGCTGTAGTCTCCAGGCAGGACGGGCAGGTAGGACACGGTGCAGGTCCCGTCCTGGTTGTCAAGACAACTGATGTCTGCCTTGGATGGACCCTCAATGGCCAGAGACAGACCGCCTGCATAGACGTGATATGAACAGGGATCTGTGTGATTAAATGTGTCCTTACTACTATGTTGTTATTGTACAATTGTAATCCGCTCTCCGGTCTCTTGTGGTGTTATTTGCAAGTTAGAGCATAAGTTTGAGCAAGCCGAGGCGTTGAAAATAAAACAAAATTATGGAAACATTGTCAAATTGTTATTCTGGTATGCACGTCAGATGCATACCGCCATATAGAGAGGGGTAACGTCTCTTTACAACTTATTAATGTTCTTCTGGGCTGCTACAACAATACTTTCAATGTTTGTATATATGCTGCTACTTGGATGTGTATTTTTATTTTATTAGTTTGTGCTTGCCTCTTTTTATATCTTAGGCTACTCATTTTATGTTTGCCTTTTATCTGCACTGTGGCTTTGCTGTTTTAAATGTGTACATTTCCCAGCTGTAGGATGAATAAATGATTTCTGATGGAGATGTGAGTGCTACATACCCTCTCCTGCGTCTTTGGTGTTCACAGTGAAGACGGCAAGCTTGTTGACGGTCCCGTGGATGAGGCCCGGGCCGTAGGCACTGACATTGCCACTGTTCATATAGTCCACATAGAACTGTAAGGGACTTCCTGTGAATGGCCGCCAAGAGAAGAATAATAATTTCTCACGCATCTTTTAACATTTCTGTTTTTAAATTGCAAACACGTGTGAGGTCAGTCGTACCGGGGATGTGGATGCCGTCGTATTTGATGTCCATCTCGTGCAGCCCGGCCTCAGTGGGAGCATATTTGACGGTCACAGTGCCATCCTTGTTGTCTGTGATGTCAGGCTTGGCCACCTTACCTGATGGCATCCGGACCTCGCCTTAAACAGAAAACAGACGTGCTGTGAGATACACGTAGCACAGAAATCTCCCCTCAATGTTCCTCTACATGCTTTAATGTTCAAGATGAACTCCCTTTAGAGGGAACATTTGAGCCTTTGCAGAGCATTAACATGCACAAACCCTATATTACGCACTACACGTAAGGGAAAACCCCAATAAGCATAATAGAGCCTCTTTAATGTTTTGGGACCAATCCGTTATCAGGTTTTTTGGTTATTGTTTTTTAGCTTATAAATGTTTGTGTATAACACATGGACTCTCTCCAACTCTAGATGTGTAAGTGATATATATTTTAATTCTTTCTTTTAAGTGTCTGGGTCCCTATTCTAAAGCTTCGGATGTCCCATTTCACAAATCTACATTTACGTCTTGTGATTTTATTTGAAACTGTTTGTGATTGAAGTGAATTCCATTACCTGTGATCTCTCCCTTCTGGATGGTGAATGGGATGACCAGGTCGAATGGTCTCAGCCCCGCCACATCCAGACCGTTCATTCCCATTGGTCTGTCTGTTGCCTGGGAGACAGAGGGCAGGGGTCAGACATGGTGACAGTCGGGTTACAGTGGCAGCATACGTCATGGACACAGCGCAGGACAGAGGGACAAAGTTTCCAAACATCAAAAGAGAGAATGGGATGAGACAATCATGAGATGGAATGACTGATCATGGTCAGGATGATGACACCGACACACACTGCGAGAGACAATGATGAGGACAAAAACACTGGTAGGTCAGGGGACCATGACAAAGCACACTTAGCCATTTTATAAAATGTGGAGCAGCTGACACGGCCACATTGATCATTCTCAAAATGGCTTTTGTCTCCTAAGTGTTAACATAGGGCACTGCTGAACAGATGGATGCACAATGGTTGATGGGTGAATATTTTACTTCCAGATTTCATGGGAAATATTTCCCAAATTGCTGAATAAACTTGATTTGGAGATGTAATATTAATAATTGTTGATATTGTGCAGCTCTGTTGCACTGTCCATGTTGTTTAAGGAAACCTGTTTCGGAGGTAGGGAGAGAAATGAGAGAAAGGTCCTCTCAGAGGAAAACACCTGCAATGAGAGACAGCACACACTGACGCAGGCTGATGAAAAGAGGTCATGTATGATGAGGGGGAGGAGAGGAAGGAGGAGATGAAGGTAGAAGCTGAACAAAAAATGATTGAGAGGGATGAGAGGCTGGAGGCAGAGGTTTAGGTACCCAGGGCTGTTGAGCGTAGTACTGGGGGATTTGGCTCTGTTGCATGAGCTGGTCTGATGGAGCTCCTTCCAGCGCCTGAGGGGGGTGGGAGGTGGTGAGGGGGAGGTAGGGGTTGTGGAGAGGGTCAAAAAGATGGAAGGGATTGGAGGGGAATAAAACAGTCAGAGTGATTTAGAAAATGTTGATTGGGAGCCAATCACGGAGCTTCTGTAGGGAGAGACAGCGTCAAGGAGCTGTGATCCATGGAGCACCCCTCAATTCACTCATCCATATCCAGTCAAATGCATTGCTCTTAAATCATTGCAGGTTTGCACAATTAGTAACGCTGTGCCTTCATATCTTTTGGGGATGCTAAGATGCGTATATCGGGCAAGTCCATTTGTTGGTTTAGTCAGAGCTATGGAATATAACATCATTCATCTTTGCTCACTTTATTTGACCCTTGAAGTGCATAATAATTTAAGTTAAATAACATAAAACAACGTCAAATCATTCATTATATAGCTAGCAACGCCATTAGAAACAAAACATTTTTGGTTATCTTAAAAAAAACTAAACTGTGAAATATTTAGGCATTTATAAAAATATTTTATTAATAGATCATTATGTACTCTAACAATGATGATCTTCTGTGGCCCTGTAACTGGCTCTTCATCAAACCCACATCAGATCAGAGTGTGAAGGTAGGAAAGGCCAAATGTGAATTGTATGGGTTACCGAGGGTGTGCCGCAGGGATCCATCCCTGTGCTGTTCACTAAGTTCCTGCAAAACTCAACTTAAATCAAGACAGGCAGTCTTTCTGTTATATTGTTTGTTTTTTCTTTTCTTTTCCACTAAGCTGCTTACCAGGGAATTATTGTCAGCCAACTGAATAAAGTGAATTTGTATTCACTTACCGTGACTTGGAAGGGACTGTTAGGGATGTGCTCCCCTCCGAAGCGAACGCAGATGACATACTCGCCAGGCTGCGGTGCCGTGTAGAAGATGTCGAATGTGCCGTCCTCGTTTTCAACAACGTCCACGTCGAGCTCCGCCCCCTCGGGCGTGCACACGCTACATGTCACCTTCCCTTTCCCAGCAGCCTTGGCGTCCACTGTGATGACTGTCTGTTCGCCAATCTGGATGGTTGGGCCAACACCAGCGCCTTAAGAATTTAGAAGAAGATTCAGATATATTTGTTATGATTCATTTGATCTTATAGAGACACAAGCAGGCGCACACTACCTCTCAACATTCAGCATGCACATTCCAGAACCATGACACCAGGTTGAGGTTGGATGAGATCTAGTCATGTTATTTCTATCTTCTGTATGTTGTTACTAATGACTCTTTTGTTATTATCATACAGTTTCCCATATAGAACTGACAACTAGATTAGCCATTCCACCATGCCATCCTACCTACTCTGTTAGTCCATTAGTCTGTGCAAAAAAACATGAGAAAGAAAAGAAAAGAAACGGTTATGAGAGTAAGTGGAAAATTAGATGGGAGGATGTAAAGGTAGAGAGAAAGAGTAAGAAAGAAAATGGGATGTCTTGAAAGCTGGTGCCACTATCCTCCATGCCGAGAGAAAAGGTAGAGTAATTCCTCTACTTTACGAAGTTGTTCAGAAGGCTTACCTAAACCGTGACCGCCGATTGAGACTGATAATAGGAACGGTGAGAAGCAGGGGAGCGAGGAAAAAAAAGTGACAAATAAAAGACAGTCAGGTGGGGGTGGGGGTGGTGGGAGGCAATAAATGTGCTCCAAACACTTGAATGGAAACAAACGGTGATGGTGTGAAGCAGGGAGGGTGTGTGTGTGTCTGTGTTTGTGTGTATGTGTGTGCTCAGCAGGGACCTGGGTGATGGGGGGTGTAACTGAGGTGAACAGCGTGAGGAACACCACATATTGCACAAACAATTTGATATGAGCAGCAGGTACACCGAGGGATTACATCTTAAAGGATCATTAACAATCTCACAGATAAGAGTTTTCTTTTACGATTGTTATGACCCTTATGTCAATAAACATAATTATCATTTGCAGACAGAACTTCATTAAAGTTATAAGGATAGTTATATGCATAATGGTTCCTGACAATAATTAAAACATATTGCAAAGCAGTTTTAGATTGACTTAAGAGGTCATATGTTATAATGCCACACATGTGTTATACATTGTAATCTTTTGTGGGTCAATACTTCCTTTAAATTACATTTAAAATATATAAATCTAAAATGTCAGTGAGTGTGCAGCAAGTAGCCTAAATACTGTAGCATTATGGTACTTGAAAACATTTTTTTACAGTTATTATAAAATGTATTATGCTTATCTTTATAAAGCATTATGAACATTTAAGAAAACTGACGTCTAGCTAGATAGATAACTGAAGCTAGAGCTAGTCGCCACTTAGCTTAGCATAACGACTGAACGAGGAAATAAAACCCATCCACCAGCACCTCTAAATTTCTCTAATGTTTATTATACATCTTAGATGTTTAATCCATAAAAAAAAAAAAACTTGTGTTTTTGTACTGTTTAAATGATTGTCTATTTCCCCTTGCTTCACTGTTTATGCTAAGATAAGCTAATGTAATCCGACAGTTCATTCAAGCTTCTCATGAGACTCTCTGCAAAGAAGTGAGTAAGTGCTTGTCCTACTGTGTCAAACTGTGGATGGATCATTTATAAAAAAACATTACAACAGTATGATTTCTTGTTTTCCTAATTATTTTTAAGAATAACCGGCTAATTTGTGTTTTCTATTACACAATTGGAATCATCTTCAGAGCTGCTAGATGCTTTACACCTCATCTTGAAACAACCTTGCATGTGTGGAGACATACAATCCTGGTGAAAATCAGATCTTCATCTGAGAAATATGTCAACATAAAACTTGTAAAATTCATTATCATGCAGAAAAAAAAATCATTTATTCTCGTCTCATATGGGTTTGTTGATGGCAGATATACAAATCTAAATGTAGGACTTGTGTGTAAGGTCATTTTTTAAACACATGTCAACAGCTATAAAAACAGCAGTCTGGAACATACCTGTGACTGTGCACTTGCTGGCGTCTCCGGTGGGCAGCGCCCTGATGCGGTAGGGGGAGTATGGGATCTCATCCCCTCCGTACTTAATGAGAATGGTATATCTGCCGGTCATGTCCGGTACATAGGACACCAGGTAGGTCCCGTCATGGTTGTCACGGATATTAGCCTTCTTAGGCTTCCCCTCTGGATCCTGCAGGGGTTAAAATGGAAAAATGTTTGAAAACAACTACAGAAATAACTCATTTTAGCTGTTATTATCTGCATCATATGGGTACACACAGTGATCTGCACCGCCAGCAATCCCTCGCCGGCATCTTTGGCATCAATGGTGAACTCGACGGGCAGAGAGGCGGGCACCCCGGTGGTGTTGAGGCCGGGGCCGCTGGCTCGCACCTTACTGGCATCATGGGTGGGGAGCACCTTCACCTTGTAGGGGCTGATGGGGGAGGATGCATTATCACAAAAATACACTTTTATTTTTCATTCAACTCATTCAATATCAATATATGCAGTAAAGGTAAAAGAAAGCTAAGTCAGTTGAAGCAAGAGGGCATAAATCAGAGTTCATCAAAAAATGGTCTTCCATGTCATCAAACTACGTTGTTTTTGTCCAAAGAACTCAATCGTATGGCAAAATCATTTCAAACTTCATGACAAATAAGAGTCAACATTTTAAGAGAATTATGAATTTAAGATGCACTCAAGTGCAGGGGTTGACAAAATAATGCAATACCAGAAAATGTAAAAGAAAATAAATGACATAAAATACATTTTTGAAGATTAACCAAAGACCATGAAAGTCTGTTCTTCTATTTAGAAATACAGAATATTGGTTAAATAAGTTTGAAGTCAATATAAGAAACAAAACATAGACACTAAAGAATGATTAGAAAATCTTTGTTGAACTTGAGTCTGTGTGTGTTACCTGCGTGGGATCTCCTCATCAGCGTATAACACATTAATGGAGTAGGGTCCCTCTCTGGTGGGAACATAGTTGACTGTGTGAGTCTGATCACCATTATCCACCACCTCCACAGGCTCCACCACTCCTACACACAGACACACAAAACATTGGGATAGTGTAAGTAGACAACTCATCAAATTACAGGACACTGATCCAGTTTTATTTACTTATTTTAACGTGGAAATAATTCTAATCATATATTTGATGGTGAATAAACAGTAGCTGCAGAGTAACATCAGAAGACACTCACCTTTGGGTCCTTGCACGCGGACCTGCAGGGGGGCCACTCCAGCTTTGGAGGCATCCACTGTGAATGCCTGAGGGATGCTGGCTCTGACATTGTTGCCCAGGCCTGGACCCTGGCACTTCACCTTGGTGCTGTCCACAGTGTCACTGACCGGCACAGAGAAGGGACTACCTGCACAGAGAAAACCTCAGGAAAGTCAGAATAAAATATTCTGGGGTGCTCTAGCAGTCTAGTAAGCTGACATGTTAATGTTTTATAATGTGTTTCCTCTCATGTTTCAGCCTCTATTCCCACGGCAGTCTAGAGACAATTATGGCTGTGATTCAAGACAGACTACATGTTGGTCCCAGACCAAAAGAGGGCTGCAGTCATGAGTCGATAAACATGTTAGCATTTCAGCACTTCCAAATACTTGTCTACTAAGTCAATTAGTTTTTTTGTAGGCGAGGTTAAAGTCAAGTGATTGTGGTTTGTAAAAAGCCTGACGTTTGAATGTATGCTCTGAAAATCATAACAGTTATGCTCATATGTAAAGACAACACTTATAGATAGAAGATAGAATTGGAGGGATGAAACCCTCTTTTAAGCCCGCGTCACACTGTCCCGAAATTGACACCCGATGGACACACGATAAAGGAAATGTTCAAATTCGGCTCTGATCGTAACAACATCGGGCCATTCGTGAGGGCATCTTAAGCCATCGTATGACCACCGGTGGAGTTTCTCAGGCTCCGGCAGCAACTTCGTGAGCGGCAACTTCGTAAGGCACTCGTGGGGGCATCTCGTCAAATCGTGTTATCTTCGTGTTATCATCGGTGCCATCGGGCCTTCGCCCTCACTCTGATCGGGGCGAATGCCCGGTGGCACCGATGATAACAAGATGCCCTCACGATGGCCTTACGAAGGGCAAAATTGACGTACGAATTCAACACGAAAATGGACCTTCGCAAGGTCCTTCGGCAATTTTTTGGCATGCCAAAGA